ATATATATATAATATATATATTATATATATGTATATATATATATATATATATATATATATATATAGTATATATATATATATATATATATATATATATATATATATATATATATATATATATATATATATATATACATATATATATATATATATATATATATATATATAATATATATATATATATATATATATATATATATATATATATATATATATATATATATATATATATATATATATATATATATATATATATATATATATATATATATATATATATATATATATATATATATATATATATATATATATATATATATATATAATGAATATTATGTGAATTAATTAATTAATATACATCTTGATTAAAATTAGGGTTTTTGCCCTAAAAGTTGAAAATACTCAAAATAATACCTTTTTATTTTCTCATTTTATTTTACATAAATCATACTTTTTTTTCATACATATAAAAACTTTCTTTTTGCATTTTGCATATTTACTTCATTTCCATTTAATTATGCAATTTATTTACCTTGCAAATATTCAAAAATGATGTAATAATTTAGATTCAAATTCTTGTCTAAATATCCCCCATTTGTAAATTTGTACCCCCCTCCCTATATTATTATGTTGTAATAGCGTAGGAATTTAAATTTCGCACTTTATACGCTTTCTAATTATGCCATGTTAGAATTAGGGTTTGCATGCGAAAAACGATAAAAAATAGTTGGACCTAATACAAGATGAATGAACATGAAAATAAACAACACATATCACACTTGCACCCCTAGGGTACTCCACTTTGTTGCCTTCAAATAAATGGGCCATATTGCATGTTAGGTCTCTTTGGGCAAAACAACAAATTGAATGATCATAGTCCCTCGATAACATTTTCAAAATACTTCCAAAACAAATGATCAAGTCCCTTAAAGAAAATGTCCAAAGATACTTGGCACCATTGCAATTATGGTCTAAACGATGACCCACGCCCGTCCCTTTCACATCCTAAACATAAGATTGTCCACCAAATACAATGGTGGAACAAACTTGTTAAAAGGGTTAAAACATAACAATAATCTTTGAGAAATTTAGGAGTAGATAATCTCTTAGTTACTTGGATCAATCTTGCAAACTAAAACACTTGCCTATTTCAAAAACCACACATCACTACACTTTCAAAACAACTTTCAAAAACAAATGAAAACCTTTTCAAAAGACGTACATCTTTGTATACATCCCCACATGGATCATTACAAAGGTTGCCACCACATTGGCCTCTTTTCAAAACATTTTTTCAAATCCACACACTCAAGCACCATTTAAAACAATTGAAAACAAAAAGGCAAGCGATCTAAGCAAATAACTAAGAGCCCATGGATAACCATGGATAGAAAGGGTGCTAATACCTTCCCTTTCTATAATCTACTCCCCGAACCCAAGAAAACATCTCAAAAGGTTTTTGCTGTGCTTTTTAACCTTTCCTTAGGATAAAATAAAAAGTCGGTGGCGACTCTTGCTCAACCGAAACATTTACGAAAACAAACGCAAAACCTCAAGTCAGTTCTCCCACCGTATCACACATATTATTAGAATTCATTTGAGGGCTAGGTAACATATTTGGATTGTTTGGTGACGTAAAAAATATGGCGGGGTTTGTTGACACATATGAAATTTGAGCATTTTGAGAATTAGGATTTTGATTATTTTGCATGTAATTGAACATAACTTGTTGATAATGAAAATGATTAGAATCCATTTGACCTAAACAATTTTAAGTTGAAGTAAAAAGATGAAAATTTGGATGAAATTTTGAGAGAGAAACTTGAAATTTAAGAGAAAATGAAAGTGAAAGAAAATTGGTGTTGATAATTTTTTTTCCTAAAACACTATTTATAATTGAAAAATAAGTTAAAAAATTAAATTAACTAGCCGTTCAACGACTACTTGGCTAAGAACCGTTGAGTGCTTTAATCCGTTGGTCAGCTGGGGCATTGGAGGAAAGAGAAAAAACATTGCCACTTAGAGAACCAACATGAGAAACCTCCCGTAGTCCCGTTGGAGGTGGTCTTAGAAGTTTTTGAGTATGAGGGTCTGTGGACCATTTTGCTTCCAACATTTACTCAACATCTACAGCATGTCATAAATTGTAGGCCCTAAAAATCTTGATGCATCTAATTACAAACTTCTTGTGTGGGGTTGGTGAATTGTCATAACTTCCATTAACAATTTGGCTCTTAGACCCATCACCGAATTAGAGGTCTCAATACCCAAAATAGGGATGTCCATGTAAAGAGGTGCACATGGTGTTTTACTATGTCAAGTTGCACTAAAGCACAACTAAGATAAAGAGAGAACGAGAAGACCATTATCCAAAATCATATTATATTTGTCTTTATCTTTAAACTTAGTTGGTACACCTCTTTGGACTTGTTTTATTTTACAAGAAACCAGAAAAAAGGGTCTATATTACACTGAGCCACACGACCAATGAAAACAATAACAAAAATGTTGTTACCCAGTGTTGGAGTACAATTCACTCCATTCTCAATTCACAAAACACATACAACACGACCAACAACACCACATTCTTTGAAAAAACATTCACTTTCAAATTCAACCATAAACATGTCATCATCATTTCCCAAAAACACAAACAGGAAGCTTCCAATTCTTCTATTTGATATCATGGACACCATTGTTCGTGACCCTTTCTACAAAGACATCCCTTCTTTCTTCGGTATGTCCTTCAACGAACTCATAGATTCCAAACACCCAGCCGCATGGATTCAATTCGAAAAGGGTCTCATTGATGAGGTATAAAGCAATAAACTTTCATGAATTCACTGCAAAACTAAGCGACCCTCTTTCATGTTATGTATAAAGGTCAAAACTTTTTGTGTTCCAGGAGTAAATTGGTATTTAGAATTGTGGATTATGAATCCAAATTGCAATTGGGCCATTTGGGTATTTAGAAATTTTGAGTTGAATGTATTGATAGTCTCATTTTCTTGCAGGTGGAGCTAGCAAGAATTTTTTTTAAGGATGGAAGGGATTTTGATTTAGAAGGTTTGTCTCAGATTTTGTTGCTTTATGTGTGATGAATTGAACAAATATAAGTATAGCTTTGTCCTATGTAGATAACTTGTTTGATGTAATGCATCAAAACATGTTAGTTTTTATTGTCACTTTAGCTAAAAAAAAGTTACGGTTCTGATTTTTTTGCAAGGCAAAAGTAAATGTTATTGCTCAAAATAAAGATCTAAACTGAAACCTGCAGAGTTTCTGCTTCAGTAACACAGCAGCAGTATCAAGATTAATAGTATCACTTTGCTGCACAATTCTTGATTCCACCCATCCCGATCACCCCGATAGTCTTTTACTTACCGTCTCAATCATCGGTTAAGTTGTACAAGACGAATAGTTAGAATGTTCAAGATGGTGATGGGCAGCTACTTAGTGACAATCCAATACAAGTTTTGGGCTTACGCTAATTTCCTTTTGAATGATTGTGTTTTGGTTACCTGCTGTACCAATACTCACTATAATTTTGCTGTAAAAACTCTTAATATCATCTTTAATTTTGATGCAAGACTTTGTACTCTGTGTATCAATTTCGTTCTCCAAGCTCCCTCTATTTCGATATAGCTACTGACTTGCATGTGTTCTACTATGTCTATAACAGGCCTTAAAGCTTGTATGAGTAATGGGTATTCATACATAGAAGGGATTGAACAATTGCTTCTAGCCTTAAAGAAAAACAATTTTGAGATGCACGCTTTTACTAACTATCCTATATGGTAAGACATTTGATTTTCTATTGTGATTTCTATTTTGCTTTGCATCGCATTCTACAGAATATTCTGAATTGTAGGTACCAGTTGATCGAAGACAAACTAAAGCTATCAAAATATCTATCTTGGACATTTTGTTCGTGCACATATGGTAGTCCATCTTACTCTCTCAGTGCCTTTTATGTTGATCACGTCATACAGAGTTTGAATATTGTTGAGCCATTTTCGTTGTGTTTCAGGAAAGAGGAAACCAGATAGTGAATTCTATATGGAAGTCGTGAGGCATCTCGAAGTTGATCCAGCAGATTGTATTTTCATAGATGACAGGTTTCTAATCTTCCTACACATATTTGTATAGTTATTGAACTAGTTTATGCTAAAGTGTGAGTGATTTATATAGTTATTGTGTTCTTAGACAAAAAAATGTGGAGGCAGCAGCTAAAGTTGGGATCAAGGGTGTACATTTCAAGAATGTCGATTTACTGCTCGAAGAACTGTCATTGATTGGGATTGACATTTTAACAGATGAAGATCAATAGCTTTTTATTTTTTTATTTCTCTAAATACAACAATTTCTTTTACTTGGTGAAAAAGACATAAATCAAACTCCTAATTGTATATTCAATTCATATGATGCTATTGAGCTTTGTTAATATGACTTCTGAAGGTCAATTCACGGGCTTTTTTAAATTAGGGCCTAACTTTAAAGCTCCAAATTTAGGTTCTAAAAAATAAGGGTGTTCAATGCACCCATCTACCTCTCAAATACTATGAAAACTCGAAATTACCCTTTTACATTGTCTGGTGGTTGAAATCTGGACGCACCAAAATACAACAAGTCTCTTCATCACAAATGCACTACATCCAAGTTAAAAATATGTCCAAATTAAAATAAAAAAAAATTGCTTATGTGCACTTTGTATAAGATAACAGAGAGATAAATCTAGATTTCAGTATCCGGATAAACTCCTAAGACTATGTTAGATGTGTATTATGTATATATTTATAGGGTGAATCCGAATTTCAATATTCGGACAAACTTTTGAGACGGTAATGTATGTATATATGTGATACCACGAGGTTAATCTAGATTTTGATCTCCGAACATACCACTAGATAATACTATAAACACTTGAACATTATTATACATAAGTCATTATCCATGTATGAGCACACAACAATACACTATTCAAACAATAAATCATATTCCCTCTTAGGGGTGGCAAAACGGGCCGTTCGTCTCACTCCCCCTTAAACCCGCAAAAAAAAAAAAAAAAAGCGGGACGGACATGCCTGCCAAGTGAAAATAGGCCTTAAAAATTTAACTCGCTCCGTCAAGGTGGCGGGTTGGTGAGCGGCGGGCTTGCTCGGCTATTTTTTTTTTTATTTACTTCTTTTCATTTTTTTAAGATAAATAGGTTTTTTTTTAACATTTTAAATAGGGTTTTCACTTATTTTTTTTAGAACGGATTTTTATAAATCATCTTTTTAATAAATTTTACTTCAAAAAATATTGCATATATTCACAAATAAATATATAAAATAAAACCATCAAGAATTAGAATTACTAGAATTAACTAAAAAAAAAGGCGGACTTAAGGTGAGACAAGCTAAACAAAAAGGTGCGGCGGACTTTAGCGGGTGGTAGGTTTTGGCGGGGCGGGCTAAGGCGGGTGGTGATCTTTAGCGGGGCGGGATTTGGTGGGCGGCAGACCCAAAATCTCAACCCACTATTTTTTGGCGGGTGTACGGGTCGGCCCGACGGGTCATGACCCACCCGTTTTTCCGCCCCTACTCCCACCATTCTCTTTTATAAGAAAATTTTGATTATTTTAATTCATTGAATAAATGCTGAATTTGAACTATATATGAACTAGATACATTAATTATTCAATGAATATAAAAAATTATAATTTACTTATAAAAGAGAACGGAGGGAGTACATAATAAGTCATTAATTCATAATCTTTATATCAAACCATACATTATTCACACATCAATCATAAATTATACATAATTCATAACTCAATCAATCAAAAAAATTAGATCAAAATACAAATTAAAATATAACTATTGGATACATCTAACACCCTTGTTCCTTATCTGTCTCATATACTGCACTACAAATCATGCTTCTGATAGTAACACGTTCAAAGTGGTCCTTTCATGAGTGTCTTCTTGAAACTCTCCTCCAGATATGTCATCTCTCCAATAACAATATGATGACATATAGACAATACATCCACGAAATAGTCTGCATTAGCATGTTTCTCTTCTAGTAGTTTCTCATGAGCTGATGATACATGGGGATCTCTTTCTGACACTAGTGTAATATAAGGATGGAACACTATGTAAAATCATTGGATGTATTCATATATTGTACTCAGTGCACGAAGAGCTGACACATTATATACATCCTCTAACACCAAATGTTCATGGTAGTCGACAATTATTCCATCAACATCTTCGCAGAGGATAATGGTAGGAGCAGCAACTGTGGGGTCCTTAGGTATACCCTACAGATACTCAAATTAATGTAATACTCACTCAGGTAGATGTGAGTACATATGTCGAAACCCACAAGACACCCATCTAGAGTACCAACATATCACCTCCATAGGCCGTGTTTACATTGCACTTCATTTTTTTAATAGTTAAAAATCCACTAACAGGGAGTACATGGGATATCATCTGATAGAATACGGTCAAGAGTAAGTTTGTACAACTCAGTAGACGGATTCTCCTTAAGTGGGTTAATCGAGCACACACGTGACAACTCTTTAGTGTAGTCAGAAACATATTCCCACGCGGGTAACACCTAGGAAATGTTGGAGGATCCATGTTTGAAAATAGTTCTGATAAAATATCAGTAAGGGTGTTGAATTAGTAGTATGAAATTAATAAATGATATGTAAATCAATTACTTGAAATAGACAATTGCATCTAGTCATTTGTCTCGTCTTCGGTTTACTATCTCCGGTTAACTTGGAGTACATGTAAACCTAACAAGTTATTCCTCAATTGTACTTGTGAATCCACTACACGTCCATGAAATATTTAAGGTAGTCAACATCGACATAGATTGCACTTTTTCAATGAATATGCCTCTGCCAACCAAAATCAAGAAGCGTGTCTTCGATGCATATTATCTGTGATAGGCAACATGTGCATTATCACCGCAACATTTACAACTACATTCAAGTAGTTAATTATTTATATATATATATATATATATATATATATATATATATATATATATATATATATATATATATATATATATATATATATATATATATATATATATATATATATATATATATATATATATATATATATATATATATATATATATATATATATATATATATATATATATATATATATATATATATATATATATATATATATATATATATATATATATATATGAAAATCTGGCATGACGCCCCTTTTATGTCTTCTATCGTCTTTTGGTTCTCACCCGCATCAATTCTTAATTATGTCACCATTAGGTCGAGTGCCTCAAATTTATGCATTGTAGAGTGATCCAACAATCTTCATGTGATCAGAAGATGAATGAGACACAATACATCATCAAGAATGATACTTATCTCACAAATGGGAGAATGAAATGACGATGTCTCTGCGTGCTGGCTCTCAACAAATACATAGAAAATACCATGGTCAATATAACCATATCATGTCCTATAGAAGTCCTTCATACTAGATAGCTCAAATACCTCATCTAATCAAAGTTCATCGAGTTGGGACAACTTTGTTATCTTCCTAACATGTTTATACACTTCAGTGTGTCATAATATCGCAAAAAATACATCAATTCAGACAATACAATTTATATAAAACAAACTTTTAAAAGAGTAATTAAACATTTATGCTACATTTTCTTCCCGCACATGCCTAACAGTATGGTGTGTATAAAGTGGAAGCAATGACATAGGACCCCCCAAGAAAACCACTTAGTTTGGCAACAATAGGATGTGGATCACGCGCATGACAATCATCAAGAGCATGAAAGGGATCAGCAAGTACTTCCTTATAAGTCGGAGTACAAGACCATGAGAAGACGATACTAAAGAAGTTTGAGATGATTCTCCAACAACTCACAATGATTTGACTCTCTTTACGTACTAAAGTATGTTGAGACAAGTGATCATGTTTGACCTTGGTTGTCCATCAACCATTTTTCTGTAATCACACAAAACAAGACATATCAATAACAAACACAAAATGACAAAAGGAGTAACAAGCATAAAAATATGGATTTTATTATCTGTGTTAGGGTTTGTATTTTGAAATATGAATTTTCTTATATTAGTGAGAAACCCCAACAAACACCCTACAACTCAAATGTAAAATGATTCAAACAAAAGATGTAATATAATGTAGCTTAAGTAGTTTCTATTGGATGTAATATAATGAAATTTAACTACAATCATTTAAGGAATCACATTGCATCCATCATGTTGGTAGAATAAAAGTAAGTATTTTTTAACCAAGTATTTGGACTCCAGTAATAAAGGAGTTCCTGCAAAAGATGACATTAAAAAAAATATCGAATTCGATTCCTGACAAGAACAATACTTGATCAATGTGATAATAGCTAGATAAATAATATTTGAGTCTTCCAATTATTAATCGTCAAATTATAAATATAGATCGTAATAAAAAAATTATTCGGTAGGATACATTTAATAACGTATTAAAATCACTTTCCCAATAATATATACCAAATTTCAAGCATAAACCTCGTGGATGCCATGGCCATTGTCCCCCCTTTTTTAATGAAACCCTTTGCTCCTTTGTTTATTGTAAATGCAGATCATGTGTAGGAATTTTATAAATATACTATTTGTCTGTATATCACACCACATCTTGTCTAATCTCATGTACATATAATAAACAAACAACATTGGATGATGAAGTGTTGTTAGATGCTTTTCTTCAACAAAAAAGATTGGAAATTTTCTTATATTTATATCAAGCCTCACACGTTACATCATTGACCCAAAATAAGGAAAATGATTATACCAAGTTATTTTGTTCCTCTTTGGACTCTCTTTTACAAGAACTAGAACTAGAAAATTTCATACATACATGAAAACAATAGGAAAAATGGTGTTACCAAGTGTTGGAGTACAATCCACTCCATTCTCAATCCACAAAACACACACAACACGACCAACAACAACAACATATTCACTTTCAAATTCAACCATAAACATGTCATCATCATTTCCCAAAAACACAAACAGGAAACTTCCAATTCTTCTATTTGATATCATGGACACCATTGTTCGTGACCCTTTCTACAAAGACATCCCTTCTTTCTTCGGTATGTCCTTCAACGAACTCATAGATTCCAAACACCCAACCGCATGGTTTCAATTCGAAAAGGGTCTCATTGATGAGGTAAAAGTTGCTATTACTATCTTCATTCACGGTCTTCTAATTTCTTAGAGTTTTAGTTGAATGGATTGATAGTTTCTGTTTTTAACAACACTCTTTTTTTTTATTGTTCTGTCTCACTTTCTTTTAGATGGAGCTAGCAAGAATTTTTTTTAAGGATGGAAGGGATTTGGATTTAGAAGGTTTGTCTCATAATTTTTTGCTGCATAATCCGGATCATTTAGCATTAACCTTTAGTTATCTCATGTGTGATGAATTGAATAAATATAACACTGGCATAAGTTATATATATATAAAAGTTATTAAAATTTAGTCTACATCTTGACTATTAATTCTTCACAATTTAATTAGTTAAAATAATAAGTAATAGTTTTTTCTCTCCAAATATATTTTAAATATCTACCCTTACCTTTGGTCCAAACGTGTTTTAAGTCCAACTATTTATTATTGTAAATTGAGTTGTAATATTATATATATTATTTGTAGCATTGTAATCTTAATTTTATCACGAAAATAAAAAACAACTATAACTACTTTAAAGTTGCATAGGTAGACACTATTGTCCAAACTACGTTAACAAAGATCGATCATGTTTATTGACTTTTAATTTCATTTCTATAATTTTTTTGTACTGGTTGTTGTTCTAACAATTAGTATCATATGACGATTAACCCTGGTGCCAAATTCGAGGTGATAAAGTTCGACGAGATGAATAATTTCGATGAGTGTTCATGACTTGTTGTCTTAGTAAAATTTACCGAAGATGTTGCATGAGACAAAACCGATTAACATGGAGGATACATATTGGGAAAAGATAAAGGATAAAGTCACGAGATTGATTTACATATGTGTTCTAGATGAGGTGATGTACCATATCCTGAACCTAACAACACTGAAGGAGGTTATTGACAAATTGTAGAGTTAGTATATGTTAAAGATGACAATGAAAAAATTGTTCACGAAGTACACATTATACAATCTGAAAATGCTGGAATGATCATATTTATAAGAATATGTTAATGTCGTTAACAACATAATCACCAACATGGTGAGGCTTGGGGTGAAGATTGATGACTAAACTAAGGCAATTATCTTGTTGTGCTCTTTACCAGCTCTTATGACCACTTGGTGACTGTTTACTTACGGGAAATACATTATCATTCTGGATGTGATTATTGCTACGGGAAATGAGACAAAATATAGAGGAAGGAACTCAAGATGATGGTCTGAATATGAAGTGGGGTCAAGATCGTTGGTGAAACAAGGGTGAAGCAGGTTCTAGAAAGAAGAGGTCCAAATATAAAAAAAAAAAATTTGAGTGTTAGAGTTGTAAATATATTGGCCATAAGAAGAGAGTATGTCCAAAACAGAAATCAGGGTTCATCTAGTTCTGGAAATGTGGTTCAAATTGATGATTTTGGCAGTGAAGTAGATATGTTATGTGATTCATCCAGCAAGTTCACATATGCGCGGATTCTTGACTCTCGTTGTTCTTTGCACAGGACGCCATATTGGGAATGGTTAACTATATTCAGGTCAAATAGTATGGATTTATTTATCTGGTGATGATATATCATGTATTATCACTAGAATGAGATAAATTATAATTGTCATGGACAATGGTGCCATGCGAACATTTAATATTCTAGATACTCCACAAGAAGAAGAGAAATCTTCTATAGATCTAATGGAGATAGGGACATTATGAAGTTTAACAAGCGTGTTTTGATTTTGATAAGAGCATGGAGGAATGCATATATAAAATCTACAAACTATTGAGAAACATTGTTGTAGGTGGTGTTGTATCAATTAAGTATGACAATAATGCAACCAAACTTTGGCATATGCATATGAGTCATCACAGTGAGTGTGGAATGATGGAACTTCATAAGAAAAATCTATTGAAGGGTGTTTGTCGCTGAAATAAGGATTTGTGCGAGTATTGTGGATTTGGGAAACAATGTTGTGTTTGATTCAAGATCGAAAATCATAAAACATAGATAATTTTAAACTATGTGCATTATGACATGCATGGCCTAACAAAGAGGTTTTCAAGGGTGGTTCATGGTATTTTATTACTTTCACATATGACTTTTCTCACAAGGTTTGAGTGTATTTTTTGAAGTATAAATTTGTAGGCTTTACTAAACTCAAGTTGTGGAAGGCAGATGTAGAGAATCAAATAGGCAAAAAATCAAGTATTATGGTCATATAATGGAACAAAGTACACTGATTCAAATTTCAAGAGGATATGTAAAAAACACGGTATTCAAATGATTTTCTCATTTTGTAAGACACCACTACAAAATAGTATGGCAAAGAGAATGAATAGGTCTCGAGATGAAAGGGAAATGTACATCTTGTTAAATGTAAGACTATTAAAAGGTTTCTAGGGAGACACATTTAACACGGTGTGTTATCTTATCAACATGTCACTAAGGACTTCATTGAAGGGTAAAATTACAGAGGATGTATTGACACATATCATACTGATCTTTACAATTTAAGGATTTTGGGGTGTCCAACTTATGTGCATATATCTGGTTAATATCGATCCAAACTTGATATAAAGTCGAAGAAATGTGTCTTCTTCGGTTATGTAATAGTTGTGAAAGGGTTCAAGTTATGAGATTCGATTTAAAATAAAATGACAATCACCAGAGGTGTTGTTTATGAAGAGTAGTTAATGTTGAAGTAGGCAGATGCATTAGATATGTCAATATCTAAATGAGAAACTTCCTATAAATAAGTGATTCAAGTGGATGTTGATATACCATATGTGAATAATATGCAAGTAGTGCCTAAACTAAAAGAGGAACCATGATCTTATACTAAAATTGACAATGAACCTGAAGTTTTAGGTGGATACATGATTATATTTTTGTACGTGACAGAAAACACAATTCTACCAAACTACTAGAAAGATATTGGTATGAAGACTCGGCAACCTATGCATTTTTTACTAGTTCTAGATATCCTTCCACCTTTCGAGAGGATAAAACTAGCTAGGAGAAAGATAATTGGATGGTATAATGGTGGAGAAGACGAGTTTCTTAAAGAAAAATCATACAATGGAGCTTGGTCAGCTTCTTAAGGGGAAAAAAGGACATAAGTTGTATGTGATTGTTCAAGATAAAGCCAATAATAATAGAAAGAAAAAAAACTGGAAAATTTTGTGGATTGTCTTGTAGCTAAGGGGTACTCACAACAAAAGGGGATTGACTATGATGAAATTTTATCTATGACTGTCATACATACTTATATTTGGGAAGTATTGGCCTTGGTACCTAATCGGGACATGCATTTCAAGCATATGAATGTAAGAATATCGTTTTTTTTCAAGGTAATTTAGATGAACAAATTTACATGGAGCAGTCAGAGGGGTTCAGTGCTGCTGGATATGGCAGACCAGTTTGTAAATTATAGAGGTATTTGTATGGTTTAAAGCAGTCTCCAAGAAAATGGTACAAACATTTAGATTCTTACATGCTTCAAATTGGATATAAAAGATGTGAGTATGATTGTTGTATTTATGTTAGGAGTCTTGATTATGGTTTTTTCTATTTTCTTGTTAGTGCATGTTAATGATATATTGATTGCTGCTAATTATTTACATGACGTAAATGAACTGAAAATCATGTTGAGAAAAAAGTTTGACATGAAAGACTTAGGTGTTGATAAGAAGATTCTTGGTATGGAAATTCACAAGGATATGAGTGCTATAAAATTATGGTGCTATATAATTATGACTATCTCAAAAAAAATATATGTTGAAAACGTGTAAGACATGTTTGGCATGAGTATTTCGAAGGTTGCGAGTATTCCATAGGTGAATTCACTTTAAATTTTATTGGATTTCGTGTCCTAAGATAGATGTAAAAGTTAAGTATATGTCAAAAGTTCTTTATGCTCGTGATGTTGGTTGTTTAACATGTGATATGGTTTGCACTATATCAGATTTGTCGCAGATTGTAAGTCAAGTTTCTAAGTTTATGTCAAAATTAAGCAATCATTATTGGGAAGCAATCAAGTGAATTTTCAGGTACTTGAAGGGTACAACGAATCATGATATCATGTTAAACAATAAACAGTGTGATCCTTCAGATGTATGATATGTTGATTCAGACTATGTTAGTGATATGGATGATACAAAATCTATTGCGTGATATGTTTTTACTTTAGCAGGATGACTTATGTGTTAGAAATCATTTATACAATCTATAGTGGCTATGTCGACAACTGAAGCATGGTACGTAGTGGTAATTGAAGCTACCAAAGAAATCTTGTGGCTTACATGATTGGTGAGAGAATTGGATGTTATCAAGGTAGAGTTCAGTTGCATTTTGATAGTCCTAAAGCCATTTATTTAGCACAATCGAGTGTATCATACCCAGACCAAACATACTAATGTGAGGTTTCACAAGATCATAACGTTACTTGAATATGAATAGATAAATACTTGAATTTTTTTATACTTTAGAGAATGCACTTGATATGATGACTTAGTCAGATATCATTGACACATTCAAATATTACTTAGACTTTTTATATGTTTCTCAGTGTTAAGCCGGAGATGTACCTCCCCAGTTGTCAAGATGTAATCGTCATGCAAAAAGTCTTCATAAAGATTTAATATTTGTCAAGGTGGAGATTATTGAGTATGACTCACATATATGCAGAAAAACAAAAAAAGAGACAAGGGATAGAGAACCCTTGCCCATGCCTTTGGTCCAGATGTGTCTTAGATCCAACTGTTTGTTTTGGGGAGGCGACTAGTACGATTAATGGATATATTGTAATAATACAACTCTAATTTCATCATAAATAAAACAACGCTATAACTACTCTATAGTCGCAGAGATACGCATCATTGACCGAACTGCGTTAACAAATGCAGATCGTATTCATTATCTTTTACTTTCGTTTCTTTAATATTTCATATTGATTATTGTTCTAACAATATTGCATATTAGACAGACTAGAAGTGTTAATAACCTTTTACTTATTTGATATAATTTATCAAAATTTTCGTTTGTAAGAATTGTAGCGTGCATATTTTAAAAATAAAATAAAAAGATGAATCTGATTTGGAGGAGGAATAAGTGTTCTATGATTTTCCACCTAGTCTTGCTTGTTTTATTCTATCAATTTCTATGACAGGCCTTAAAACTTGTTTGAGAAATGGGTATTCATACATAGAAGGGATTGAACAACTACTTCTAGCCTTAAAGGAAAATAACTTTGAGATGCATGCTTTTACTAATTATCCTATATGGTAAGACAATTTTCTATTGTAATTTATGTTTTTCTTTTCTTGGCATTCTACAGATTGTACTGTATTGTAGGTATCAGTTGGTCGAAGACAAATTAAAGCTATCAAAATATTTATCTTGGACATTTTGTTCTTGTGCACATGGTATAACACATAATATCTCTCATAATATTTTTATGTATTATCATCATATATATTCTAGCACGAAAAAAAAAAAGACTTAATCATTTAAGGATTGTCACTCTAAAATTATCCTTTCAAGTAAATTTGAATATCATGAGCCATCTTATTTTGACACACAAACTAATATCAAATTTAAATACACTGTATATATTTATTAATCATCTGATTTAATCTATATTTAACATAATAACTTGATTTAATTGTTTTTCAGGAAAAAGGAAACCAGATACTGGATTTTATATAGACGCTCTGAAGCATCTTAAAGTTGATCCAGCATATTGTATTTTCATAGATGACAGGTTTTAATTTATGAATAATACATATACTTGTGCTTTTATGCAATGTTGGTCATTTGTGTGTGTGATTTAATTATGTAGTTATTGTGTTCTCAGGCCAAAAAATGTGGAGGTAGCAACTGAAGTTGGGATCAAGGGTGTACATTTCAAGAATGTTGATTTACTTTGCGAAGAACTGTCATTGATGGGGATTGACATTTAAATAGATGGAGATTAATAACTTATTTTCCTTAATTAAGTATAATATAAATTAAATGAAGAATGTTGAGTTACCTTTCCTTTGTTATTAATTGGAATGTTGAATGAGCATTATATTTTATTCAACCAAAATTTAATCATTAAAATAATAAATCAAATTTTGTAGAAAAGATTAATAATAATTCTTACTACTTAAATTTTATAAAATAAGAATTCTTTGGAGGTATCACCAAGAACACTCAACCGTTAAATCCATTTGTCTCTTATTGGCTTGACTTCTATTGGTTCAGACATAGAATAAGGTTTTCAAATCGATCAGAGAAATTATAAACATTACTCACATATCTGCTGAGATATCATTTACAAGTTAGGAAAATATTTTTATCTTTCGCATCCTTTAAATTAGTTGAGAAACCAATAAACACTCTATCATTTTGATTTTTTCAAATTAACACTATACAAAGTGTAAGATATAATACCCCAAAAATAATTAGATTATTTATTTAATTAATTTATTATGAATTATTGATGAATATATGATGTTTTATTGAATATGATGCGTATTACGACGTCATGTATGGAATAGTGGGAATTAAGGTAATATTAAGTATTTTAATAATTTAGATAATTAGTATAATTATTTAGAATTATTAATTAGAATTATTATTAATAAAATAAAAATGATATGGTGTATAGAAACAATAAGGACAGGGTGATCATTTAAAAGATGTTAAGTGAGGTCAAAAATGGAAAACCATAGAAAAGGTCCAAGAGTTAAACAAGGGAAAATGAATTTTTGTGTTTATTTGTTACGATCGTATTTTGGGAAGAAACAGAGAAAAAGTCTAGGGCACGAGGAACATAGAGAATTACCGTAGAATGCAAAGGGAACATCGATTGCTAGGGAAATCCAAGGTAAGGGGGTAATCAGTTTATTATAATTGATATAGGGATTTAGATGTATGAAGGAATTGTTTGGAGTTTATGATGAATTTGATAACATGATGAGTTGTGATAAAAATTGATGAAATATGATGTGATAAATCCTATAATTCAATGTATGCAATGGGTATTATGATGTGTTGTTGTATGATGAAACCATGTTGAATTATATGAGTTTTGGACTGAGATTGTATGAGAATTGTAACGCGGTGGGAGAATTGACTTAGGTGTTTTGCGTTTTATCTAGGAAGATTCTGGAGGAGGAATTGCTTTACCATCAACCACCTGAGACAAAACTCTTGTGCCTTCAGTATTGAGCCCTGGGTTCAGCACGGCCAGCTGAACCATCGCGGTCTCAAAATCGCCAGATAATGCATCCACGCAATCCGACTCAAGGACCTAGATTCGAGCAGCCAGTTCCGCGCAAGTGTGATCGGTGGATCTGGAACTGACTGTTTAACGCTGGTTCGCGAAATGTCGCGGAAGCAAGAGTCGCCACCGTCTTTTATTTTCTACAAATGGAAAGGACAAAAGCACAGAAAAATTCCTTAAAGAGATTGCTCTCGGTTCGGGAGGTAGATTATAGAAAGGGAAGGTGTTAGCACCCTTTCTATCCATGGTTATCCATGGGCTCTTAGATACTTGCTCATTTGTGTTTTCAAAAATGGTTTGTTTGCTTTTCAACTGTGGGTTTTAAAAAAGTTTCTTTGAAAATTTCAGTTCGACTCTTGTATCGGTCCTCAAGAGTGTTTGAAAAATTGCTTTCGAAAGCTTTTTGAAAATGTGTTGGTGTGAAAAGTATTTTTGATTTGTTTTGAAATTTAGAGCAAGTATCTAGAGTCGTCTACCTACCCTAAGGAATTCGTCTGTGTAAATGTCCTTTAAAGTAGTGTCATCCCACCATTGAGAGGTAGGTAGCACCACCGTTGGAGGTGTTTGGGTCAATTCGATGTTCGGGACATGGTGATCACCAGAGCAATGGGAAGACACCTTAGAAGCTACCCTCATGCCAGGTTCCCGGATCATGAGGACTTACTAAGACATCCTCTACTCGACGATCACCTTTCGAGGCAAGGCAACAGTGAGGCGTACCCTAGGGGTGGTGTGTGAATTTGTGTGTCATGTTCAGTTATTTTTGTCTTTTGTCATGTTAAAGGTGATCTATGCGTTTGTTTTTATTTTTGTCCATACATTCTTTCATGCCTTGATTAAACAGTTAAAGATTGCGAGAAGGTAAAAATTCTAAGCTATTACAAAAGGCGCGGGTCCACATCGCCAAAATTTCTCGAACCCGATTTGACAGAAAATAAAGAAAGTAAAGAAAATAAAGTGCGAGCAATTAGTTACATGGCCTTGGGAGAGATACATCAATATTAAATAAAATAAATATGCGAATAAGAATAAAAAAAACGAGGGCGTTGGACCCTTTTTGCAAAATTAAACTAAACGATGAATTAATTAAAATTAAAAGGAAAAGAAATTGTCTTTTTTTTTTTGTATTTTTGGTATTTTATGATTTTTATGAAAAAAGAATTAAATAAAATAAATGCTAACCCTAATTCTACAATTTTTGTTTTATTATGAAAAATGTTGAAGTTTTTTTTTTTAACCTAAAATTAACCCTAATTTTTATATGCAATTTAATTACAAAAAATACATATTTAATATTTTAATTATTTATGAAAGAAAAATAAAAAGGGAAGAAAAATTATCATGAACCCTAATTCTATTAATTTTAGATTTTTATTATGAAAATATTACAATTAAACCCTAAATTAAAACTAAATAAATTAATGCAATTTATTTATGAAAATACTAAAATAAAATATTTATTATTTTTTCTCTTTTTTTGATTTTTATGTATTTTTTTTATATTTTATGAAAATATTAAATTAATTAATAAAACAACAATTAAAAGAAAGTATAAATAATAAAAAATAAAGAAAGTAAAAAAAATTGGCAAACCTAGGGGGGGTATTTGTCCCCAAAGTGGAGGTGAGGCCTTTAGCAATCTGGCCCAATGCTTCAGGCCTGGTGGACTTTTCCAATCACATACTCTAGCGTTGACTCACGCGTACCATGTTCCTCAGATCTTCGCCTTTGGATTGATGAAGCTGGACGCGTGGACGGTTTGATGGTGAAGGTGTATTGTAGTCCACTAGGTTGAATCTGCACGTGAACATCAAATGAAAAAAAAACATATGGAAAGGGGTGAGGACCTGGGATCGAACCCAGGTCCTAGGTGTTACCAGCCAAACGCTTCGCCACTGCTCCACTTCGTTCATCTGTAAATTAATATAATAAACAAATATAATAAAACAAACGCGTTAATGTTTCTTTTTTTTCGCGCGCGATTCAAACGATCCAATCGCTAGCGGCCACCTCATCTTCTTCTTCTTTGTTCCCTGAAACACAAAAACATAAGCCACGGTTTTCACAGTGTTCCCTTAGGCATGCTATTGGAAAATAGCGAATAGCCCATGGATCATCATAAATTAGGCGCGAGGGTGGGTTTATGATCGTCTGAGTATGCTGAGGTGAATGGTCTAAGTCTTATGCTCCAATTTTTCCTTAAACGAAAACCCCTAATTCCAAGCTTCACAAACCCTAAATATTATCAATGGCAAATCTTCATATAGGGCACGAAAACAAAATTAAATCATTGGATTAGCATTAGAATCAAACGATAAACATGAATCAAGCGTTAAAATCCACAAAAAATGCATGAATTGAGATGCACGACTATGGAGTTTTTTCGGTACAGATGAGATAGTTCTCACGTTTCTGGGCACGAAAGCTTGTGGTTTTTGATGCAACTCCCTTCTATGAAGCCTTAGCAAGCTAATGAAATCAAAATCGTGCCTTGAATCGCCCTAGAACTAGGTTTTCAGAATTGAGTTTTTGGCAAAAAATTTCAAGTTCAATGTATGCTTTTCTGCGCAGCTTTTTGTCAATCAGCATGAGGGTTGTGATCAGGCTTATGTATGGAGTGATCTAGGTCAAAAATCTGATCAAAAGAATCCAAGATTTGATTGTTCAATATTTGATTTTCAAGCATTAGTTTTTCCAATCTTTTTCATGCAATTTGATATCAAATCATGCCAAAACTTTCCACAAATGATTATGCACGAATCTTGAGTGTCCAATGAGAGTATTTTCTGCACAAAAAGATTTTATTTCATTAGTTTTGTATTTTTCATGTATTTTATTTAATTAAATGAATTATTAATAATAAAAAATTCAAATAAATAAATAAAAATGGAGAAAAACTTCCCTTTGGGCCAAATGGTCGTGTGCATGCTTTGGATGATGAATTATGGAAGAAAAATAGGCTCATTAGCAATTTTAGGTCATTTGAATCAATGTTGACTTTTCAAAATATCCAAAAATTTCCCAACTTCCACAAGGCATAACTTGCTCAATTTTTAAGCTTTGCTCATGTTCTTGGACATTTTGGAAAGATCTTTGAGTCCTCTAACCAATGCCTTTGGTCCCATGTCATTTTGATTTACCAATCTCAAGTTATGGTCTTTGACTTAAAGTCCCTTTTTGTTGACTTTTGAAAATGACCTATAATGTTGAAATTGATAACTTTTTGTGAGAGCATTTCTTGGACTTGAAGTATGAAGATGAGTTGTAGGAAATGTCTTTATCTTCAAAATGAGCTTTGGATGGAATTTTTCTGATAATCTATGTGGAAGTTATGCCCTGGTCAATTTATAGTTGACTTTTTCAACTGTCCAAATAAGGAAACTTTTGCATCTTGATGATTTTTGAGTCAAGCTTTGAGAATCATGATCAAGCATTGATCAAATTATGTTTGTGGCTTCCAAATGAGATGTTGACCAAAAATTTGAACTTTTGACTGTCAAATGACCATTTTGCCCCTACAGTTGACTGTAGTGCAATTAGGGTTTTTGACTGTGCAATCTTGTGTTGAAAGTCTTGAAACTTTGTATGAGGATGCTTGACCATATTTGTAAGCATGTGGGACTTGATTGGACCTTTGGAAACTTCATTTTCTTGATCAGAACCAAAACCTTAATTTTGACTGCTTAGGAG